CCCCAGCTCTCTCAGCTGCTCCTCACAGGATTTGTGTTCCAGACTCCTCACCAGCCTTGTTGCCCTTCTCTGGACATGCTCCAGGTCCTCCAAGTCCTTCCTAAAGTGGGGGCCCAGAACTGGACACAGCGCTCAAGGTGTGGCCTAACCAGTGCCGAGCACAGGGGAAGAATCCCTGCCCTGCTCCTGCTGGCCACACCATTCCTGATCCAGGCCAGGAGCCATTGGCCTTCTTGGCCACCTGGGCACACTGCTGCCTCATGTCCAGCCTGCTGTCCATCAGTCCCTGCAGGTCCCTCTCTGCCTGGCCGCTCTCCACCCACTCTGTCCCCAGCCTGTGGTGCTGCAGGGGTTGTTGTGGCCAAAGTGCAGGACCCGGCACTTGGTCTTGTCCAACCTCACCTTGTTGGATTTGTTCCCTGGATCCAGCCTGTCCAGGGCCCTCTGCAGAGACCTCCTACCCTCCAGCACATCCACACTCACACCCAGCTTGGTGTCATCTGCAAATTTGCTGAGGCTGGACTCAGTCCCCTCATGCAGATCATCAGTGCAGATATTTTAAACTCCTGCCTGAAACTCCTGCCAGGGGCTCTGGAGCCGCGGGGGATGAGAGGAGATGAATTCCCAGAAGTGGCTGTACCGGGCATCTGTGGGGTTGGGAGCACTCAGAGCATCCGGGGACGCTTTTGGGGGTCCGGAAGGGGCTCTGAGAGGCCCTGAGGGATCCTGGAGGGTCTGGGGGACACTTACGGGACAGATTGGGGGCGGATACCGGGGTCGGTTCTGTGGAGCACGGGACATGACGGGCGTTGCAGTCCCGGCTCCAATGGGGCTCTATCGGGCCACAGGGCAGGGCGGGAGTTGTAGGTAAAAATAAAAGATGGCGCTGACACCAGGCACTGCTGCAAAGACCCCGATCCCTGCACTGATTGGCTGCTGGCTGTGATTGGCAGGACCATCAGCAAATGGGATACAGTGGAGGCGGGAACAGCCCGTTCAACTCCTCCAGGCCCTCCCAGCACAGCCCAGTTCATCCCCAGTACAGACCAGTACGACCCCAGTGCCTCTCCAGTCCCTTCCAATACACCTGAGTTCATTCCTAGTCCCTTCCAGTTCCTCCCATTGTCATCCACACAATGCCCCAGTGCCTTCCAGTCTTCTGCACTGTGCCCCCAGTGTTCCCAGTATGGCCCAGTATCTCCCAGTATCAGTCCCCGTGTGTCCCACTATGTCCCAGTGTGTCTCAGTGTACCCCCACAGTCCCTCCCAGTCTGCCCAGATTCCCCCTCAGCATTCCTCATGTTCCCAGGTTGTCCCAGTCCTCCCCAGTGTCACGAGAAAGATCTCCTGCCCATTTATTTAATTCCCCAGTATGTCGCAGTCCTCCCCAGTGTTTCCAAGCACAGTTTAATGTCTCACGGTTGCTGTGGCAGCCAAAGCCAGCCGTGGGGTCAGGGCAGTGTCCATGGCCACAGCCCCTTGCCGTGGCCCAGTGCAGCTTGGGCTGATGATCCACCCTCACAGCTGGCCCAGGGCAGCTCTGCAGTGGTTTTGGTGGCACCTCGGGCTGGCACACACCTGAGGAGTGTGTCTGTTTTCAGTGGGAAACTCAGCAGTTTGAGATTGCTTCAAAAACCAGAAAAAGGGAAAACCCCTCTTAGGCTGAGTGCAGGCAGCTCTCCAAGCACAGCAGGTCCCAGG